CACAATTACTGTAAATTCCTTCATCCTTCGTCTTATGAACGAAAAAAACAAAACGGTCGACAGCGTCGAATAATCGAAAATTGAAAGAATCTATCGTAACATGAATACATTTTCCGCTGATATTTCGTTCTCCAATTAGTCGTTTCATTTTTCTGTTTTTTTTTTCTGTTTTTCTCTGCAGGCGGGGCGACGGCAGTTTTTCCCGTCGCATGCAACAGTTTCCCCGTACCCGCGTGTAACGAGTCGAAGCTTTTTCAGCCGGCGCCACGCGGACTCAACAAACTATCGCGCGTCCGCCTAGCGGTCCCTCGTTAATCGTGTTATTTTTCCGCTAATTAAGCGTGCGATAAATTCGACGGGGACAGGAATACGCTTTATTGGGAGCGGCAGCCGGGGCGGTCGTGTCCCGTTTATTTTCCGCGTTTGCGTGTACATACCCCCTTCGCCGATTTATTCCTCGAGCTGCCATTTTCGAGGCTATCTTCTGCCCCCTTCCCGAGTAACGTCTCATTTTTCCCCTTTTTTTTCGTGAATGGGAAAGATACGAATATAAAAAACGACCAGGAAAATATATTCAAGCGCAAGATTTAGCAGATATAAAGGTATACGACCGTTGCTTTCGGTTCTACGACGGAAATATTAACCGTTGCTGTTAACTCTTTCGTTCCTACTGTTCCTATATGGCTACGTATTTTAAATTAGGAAATAGAATATTAGTATCGTATATTTTTTGTTATATCTGTGAGTGTGTATTAGTTTCTTCGGTAAAATAAGACATTATTTGTCGTCTAGTCTCCTTCATTATCGCACGATGGAAACTTATGAAACTCTAATTTCTATCAAATATGTCAAGGGGATTTATGAACTAAAGGTAAAAAATTAAAGTAAAAATATTGGCAAATAGGCAACGAATGACAAACGGCATTAAACGTTTCCAAAATGTCCAAATGTTCTTGCGAACCTGCCAATTTCGACAATGCTCTGTCCCTTCGATCTGTCTTCGTAACAAATCGTGTCCCTCGAACCATCGACGAAAACGCCTATCAATGTTTCAGTCGTGGTTCCACGTCCGTCTGTGGAAAGCTGCATTCTGTCCGCGCAAACGACGACGAATCTACGATTCAAGTCTGCATAATGCAATAACGTCTCGACGAACTTCTATTCGCAGCGAGTGTACAAATGAAACGGAAACAAAGGAATCGGTTCGCGAGTATTTTCTCTGTCTGTCCCCGGAACGGAGACGGGAAACAGCAGAGTGACGGTAGAGGAAGGGCAGAGGGTGAAATTGGCCAGGAGGTACGACACTCGAAACTCGCCCCTAAACAGAGACCAACCCTGTGGCAGACACACAGAGGCCAGCCGAAGGGGGCCGCGCGCAGCCTCGCCCCCGACTGGTTGTTGTCGGCATAAAGCACTGGAAAGCCGACGAATTATTTAAAAGGCACCCGGTTATTGTTCCCGGAAGCCGACAAACCACCGCGAAACCGCCCACGGCCGGAAACATTACGAAAGATTTTGTGCAAAAATAAAAAACAGTACTAGCCTTTGAAGTCTTAGAACCTTTTTTTTTATCACTCTGTACTTGCTGAAGCTAATGAATCTCTTATTGGTGTACCAATAAGTCTACTGTTTTTCGAGAAGCTTTCCTCGAAATAATTGAAATAGGTACACTGTTCCCCTCAGCACCCACGTTTGGAACCTATGCTCTACACGATGCCATTTCAGAAAACATTGATAACCTTGAAATAACCTTAAAAACAACATCGAACAAAAAAAGTTTCTTCCTACCAGCATCTTTGCCCCCTTCGGAACGATACAACTTTTATCCTGAAAATATTGTTCTTATCATGAATCCCGACAGGGACATTTAGGTGTTCCCTTTTCCGTGACCAAACCAGCGTATAACGTCGGGTGGTCGGTGACAGAATAACGCGATAAAATAACAAGCGAACGCTCGAATTCCATCGTGTTCCCGACGAAAGGAGCAGTCCAACATCCGCTTACGTCCGCGGTCCTTTGAAGCCTTTCACTTATAACTTCCGGTTCCCTCGTGGCGGGCCGTCGGTGTGTACATAACTGGCCTTATTTCTCGTCTAGCTGACACAGTTTTATCGAGACTACTGTTCACGGTATTCGCGCTTTCGAAACCCACTGAACGCGATAACGTTCGTTCGGGAGCGAACCGTATGACAAATTCGCGCGATCTGGAAATCGTTTACGAGCGGCGCCGCACTTCACCGCGGCCGAACGGCCACGGAATACAGAGTGGGGTGTGTCTCTGGTCCCTTTGCGCACCACCGACTCCTCAGTTTTCTCGTTTTTTCTTTCTTTCTTTCTTTTTTATTTCCATCTTTCTCCACCCTGGGCACGCTCGGTGGCTCTTTGGGTTATTGTTTCGAGAAGCACGTAGCGAAGCTTTGGCACGCGCGGTCCCTCGGCACAATTCCGAGGAATACGAAAATTGTCGAAGCGATCGGACGTTCCTCGTGGATCGGTTTCTTGAATTTCTTCCTTCTGTCCCCCACTCGTAACTCCAGTGTGTTTCGCGCGAGAACAGGGAGTGGCTCTGAGCGCTGCTGCGGTGGTGGATTAACCCTTTGCACGCGTGCGTCTGGTCACTGTTATCGGAAACCTGACACGTTGAACGCCGCAGTTTTTATTGGAACAGTATCATAAGGTACGATTGTTTAGGTACTTTTTGGTAACCCTTTAACATCTTCAATCGTTATTTCAAAATTATGAGACTGATATATTTGTTGTATTTTGTTATTTTGAAGTCGAAAATATCGATATTAAAACAACCTATTTTTTATAGGATGTCGTAATGTTTTGTATTCTGAAGATATTTATGAGGAATAGAGAAAAATATGTATTTCTATAACTCTTTAAAGAGGAAGGACTCCATATTGGAATAAGGTTAGAATTTGCTACTACAACGTCGAATATGTAATTCCTGTATTTAAGAAAAGAATACCATAGAATGATCTATAGCAATCATTTAATATTTATACCTGAAGCGACAGTATTACGTCTAGCTACAAGATAAATTGTCTAAGTGTTCAAGAACCACTTTCTGAGTGCAACAAAAAAAGGAACTTCGTAACATACACTAAGCAGTCCCTACGATGAGCTTCTGAGAAACTATTCTCGTAAAATCAGGCTGCGTGCACTCGCCCTGGTTCGCTGGAAATCTAATAAACCCGGAAACGTCGTATTAGTGGAATTCATATAGCTAATGCTAGCGACTCTGGCGTGCCGGGGCGCGTGGATTAATGCAGGTTCTGCAGCTGATTTCGCATCAAAAACCGCACCCAGGTTAATTTCCCTCGCATAATACATCGTTTCCCCCGTGGAAAACATATTCAATGAGAATTCGAATGAAAACCACAGTCATAAATATTACCTCGATGAAAAGTACCCGACCGAAAGTATTTCACCCGCCGCAAGTTAATATAATCGAGTTCGGTCGCCAATTATTCGCGCAGATATCAGTAGTGTTAATCGAAAAAAACCTGGTAAAATATTAACAACCAAGGTTTCACACAGCAATTTTCTGCAAGGAAATGTTGACGCGAGCGAGTCGAATGGCTGACGGGTGAACGTTTGAAACGACGACGGTAAACGGACGAGGAAAACAACGATCGCACACACACGGACTGTGGACACAGGCATTTTCGCACTGCTATTTTCACCGGTTGCTGCCTGCACACCTCTCGTGAAATACGCTCGAACCGTTTTTTTCCACGACGATAATTACACGAACGTCTGGCTGATCGGATATTTTTAATTACCCCGGTATGTGCAGCGACTGTTCGCTCAATCGGGGATAAATAAATTAATGCGATCAAAGGGGAGGGGAGTTAAACACTCGATTGGAGGGTCGCGAATCCCGACTCCTTTTTTTTTGCTCCGCCCCCGTAATTACTATTTTTTCCCCCACCGTTTCTCCGCGGATTCAAAGTTTCGTTCGACCACGCACCACACGGACGAAACCTCCCCCCCCCACCCTCCTGCTTACACTGTAAACTTTTCTGGTACTTTGTTTACGCTGCTCTGTCCGTCGGAATAAACTCCGTCCGCGGTCCGTCCATGAATTGATAATTGGGACCATCGCTAATGAGGCGAAAACGTTTCTGCGTTTAAACCGTGGAGAGCCACTTTTCAGAAATTCTTTTTCCTCTGTCCGTTGTTAAAAAACACACGGGTGTAGATGAATTCCGTTTGACGGGAGAAACGACAAATTGGTCGTGTAAACTGTGCGTTGATTTTAAGCAACGGAATACCAATTAACGAATTGCAGGCATATGCATATTTGAATGATGGAACAAGCAAACGTGTCTGCCTGTATGGTCAAGTAGAACTGTCGGATTATTTAGTGAAGATTGTTGTATAACTGAAATTCATTCGACAAGAATAGTGTCGTCATCAAGACCTTTCACATACATATTAGATATTTATTAAGTACTAATGCTCTTCGAACATCTTGTTAATACCCTTAAAATACCTATCAAGGAACTCCCAAATACTTCTAAAATATCTTTCAAATACCTCTCGAATACCACTTATTCGCATCCATGGACTGCCAAATGAAGCTTAAGTTCATGAAACTTGTTATCTATAACTGCACTGTAACATACATACATGTAAATTGCTCGAATAATTTCCATCCTAACGAAAATTTCCATTTTAAATTACCTTCGAACAATATACGAAGGTTTAATGGAAAGATATTCGATCATCATCAGTCCTCGCTAAATACTCGAAAAGTTATCGGAGTTCCTACTGCCGCGGGGAGGAGGGAGGGGGACAGTCTTTCACCCTCAAAATATCCTGCAATTAAAGAGGGAAACTTACGGTAGAACTTGCTCGATGCGCTCACCGGAGTAGAGAGAGTGGGGGAGGAGATCCTTTAAATCCCGAAATTCATGAGCCCCGTCGTTCGTGCAATTTTGAAAATTCTCCCCGACCTGTAGAGTTGTATGGAACTTTCGGCTTTTCAGGGGCGGCGATCAAACTTCTGAGGCTGGACGTGCCGAGTATAGCGGATCCCAGGTGGGACAAAGTAACGTTGAGGTGCGAGTACGATCTGGCCGGGAAGGATTTGTACTCGGTGAAGTGGTACAAGGACGGGGCCGAGTTCTTCAGGTTCATGCCAGGCTCGACACCAACGGGCCGTGATTTCCCGGTCGAGGGTGTGTACGTCGATGTAAATAGAAGCGACAGCAAGCAAGTGACGTTGCTGGGACAGGCGAACACCCGCAGAGGTTGGTATACATTTCATTATCTCTAGCTTAATTGGTATTCATATCAGGCAATCCCCGTAAGCACTGCCCTTTCTAACTTGGGCTATTATGTAGATTATTATCGTCAGACCGCGGAAGTTTATGCAAATTCTGCAATTTTTGATACTGGTACCACAGAGGGTGTTGCTGTAAAATATAGTACTGACGACCAGGGTGTGTTTCTCTCATGAAGAAAATCAATCGAAAATGAAGAATAAGATTTTGTTTCACTATGTTTTCGAGAAAATCGATTTTGATAATTATATTTACACCTTGGTCGATAGTATGCTGTATTTTACGGGACACCCTGTGTAACTATTAAAGTTGTTGAGGATATTATTTCGAAGTACCAAGGGCTTAACTATTTTCATCGGCGAGGGAACAAAGAGAAGCCAAATGTTGAATATTTATCGAATTTCGATGTTTGCACCGTGGTTTCATGAGAATCCGAGATCTTCGTCGTCCGCGCGATGTTCCTCGCAACGAAGAAAGTTAACGAGGAAAGCAAAGGGAAGGCTGCTGGCTGCCGCTGCCTAACGTAGCCCATTTTAAATTGAAATCGAAATTATTATTCCGCCGTGAGAAAGAAGCTCGGGGCTGGCCAGTGATAAAACTTAATGGACTCGTTAAATCGTGCTTAAATAATGAACGAACTTTTCGCGTCGTGGGACGAGACTTGCGTCTATTAAATTTTTATTTGCGATTCATGTTTCGCAACGCTTCTTTTTCGTTAGGTTTCTAATCTGTAAGTCGTTGCAATTGCATCGATCAGAGAGTAGGGGATGAGAAGAGGCCAGGTCCCGAAGTTGTTCCAGTAAGTTCATTAATTCATTACGGTCGAAAAGGTAGCCTCGACGATAAGTTAGCCGGTGGGGCGTGCCCCTTATTCTTTCGTTTTAAACTTTCGTCGCCCGTAATGGCTGTCTGGAGCACGGCCTCGAGTGTAAAGGGTCGTAAAACGAAACATAAGGAGACACCGCCCCTCGCTTAGAGTCGCGTCAATGAAATCGAGAATTGGCCCATAACGAGCGCGAAATTGTTTTTCAAATGAAAATAATCAAAGAACAACTTAAAAATGTCACGCAATATACATATATCTACTATTTCTATGAATAATCTTCTATTAAGAAAATAACTATTTTAACATTCTCCCAATAAGAAAGGAACTATTTCACGTTTAAAATCATCCCTAAATATTACAAAGTTTGCAGACAGTCTCCCCTTCAAGACCACATCCAATAAACAAACATCCGTAGGAATCAAAATCACCCTATACTCCATTAATGTATTTCGCTCCCATTATATTTGTTCTCCAAGCATCGAAACGATCAACTCACACGGGGCTCTCTAACTTGCCACAAAATCGGTTGAACAATATTCCCACGTCAATTAACCGAGCTTAATCGACTCGTTAATGGCCCCCGTTCCGTCACCCTCTTCGGGGACTGAATTTGAAATTTAAAAATCTCGAAACTTTCCTCCCGACCCAATTCCGGTCCCCGTCCTTTGCCCGTTGACAATCCGCTCGAAGTGGCCACGATATTCCATTAGGCTGATGATTCATTAAAAAAAAAAAGAATCTTCGGAAAAACTTCCCGATTCGCGACGGTCATCCATCACCAAGCCCGGCCTTCGGGCTGGGAGATCTATCCGTGGAGGACACAGGCGGTGGAGTAGGAGGCGGGCCAACGCGTCTCTGTCGTTGCTCGCAAGTTCCTGATCAAATTTATCACGCGCCAGCCTCGGGGCCGTAGTACGGGGTAGTTCGCACCCCGCGTTACTTTAAATATCAATCGTGGCGGACAGTCGAGAGAGGGGGGAGGGTGGTTGAAGCAAAATGGGGAAAGATATCACGTGTGCTGGCTGCGACAGGTAAGGTGAACCTCGTGGGATCGTATGGCTGCGAGGTGTCCTCCGAGGCTCCGAGCTTCCTGACAAGCTACGAGGTAGCGAACATGAGCGTCGCCATACCACCGAAGGAACGACCCAACCTCCAAGGGCTTCGACCTTCCTACGAGACCGGCGAGAACCTTCACGCGGAGTGCACCTCCGCGCCGAGCTATCCAGCCGCGGTGCTTGCTTTCATCTTAAATGGGAACGAGGTGAGACTGAGAAGTGGTTTTATCGTAATATGTATGGATGATGATACGTATGACGAAATGACGAAACGGTGTCGAAGTCAGTTAGGGTAGCGATTTTAGAACGTCTAATATTTTAATTTAATTTAATGTAACGAGAAAACTTTTTGGTAGAGAAAGAAATAGTGCTAATTAACAGAGATGGTTACAAGAAAAAAGTAAATAAATTAGTTTGAATTGAAATTAAATACAATATCTTTGAATCGTGTCATTCAATTTGTCAAGAATTTTGTAAAGAGACTATTGAAAATTGTCCTAAATCTTCTGTAACCAGGAAAAGAAGAAATGATATTTATTGTTTCTAACTCTGAAAATATGAATATTTCGACTTATCGGGACTTTTCTTCATCATTTGACGAGTACTATCTATCCTAGAAGTTATGACCCCCTTTTTTTGTATTAGTCTGTATAAATTTCTGAATGTTCTTGTCTATCGATCACTAGGTGAACGAAGCGTTTACGAAGGAGCTACCAATTGATGGCCCATCCGATGACAACATCGTATCATCGAGTCGTTTAAGTCTGTCGCTCCGTTTGGAACGACACCATTTCCCTGGCGGAACTTTAAGTCTCACCTGTCAGTCCACCTTGCCGGGAATCAAAGGTGCCAGAGCACTGGAGACGACGGAAACCGCGACGCTGGCTGCCAGTAATCAACGACTCGCTCAAGAACCCCCTAGATCCGGCTCCAGCTTCAACATTCCCGTTTTGTCGACCATGATGCTCTGTATACTGGCCACCGTCGAATCAGTTTGTTGCGGTAACTTTTCGTATCTACATATGTAATTGCCGAGTACTCTCTATTATTGTGATCCTTGTCTTAGGGAAGATCGTTCAAGGGACACGTAATAATTTCAATATTTAATATATTGGACGTATTATGTTTGTTATCAATCATTTGATTACGGATTTTGATGCATTTATACCTTATAGGACTGTGAAATACAATAGATGACAAAATTTTCATCAGACGAATTTTCTATTTTACTTTGAACCCAATGAGAGACTCGAGACAGGAAAGAAATGTCTACACAGTCGTTATGAATTTATTTTCTATACAAATTCGCAATAATGACGTATAAATAGGGATGCAAAGACATTCAAATGATTAATTTCGACCATGTCGCGCCTATAAGCTGGATGATATAAAATGTTAATAGGATTTATCACACAAAACGCGAATGTTCCAGGCACATTTCACATTATCGCAAGCTTAAGTTAATCGTCCTATCTACTGTTTCAATTTTAATGCCATTACAAATAATCTCCAATTAATTCGATTGTACAAATACAAATCAACCGTATCACTCGAACGATGTTCCCCGTCAGAGAGAGGATCGCGCTTCTTAGCTAGGAAAAAAGCGATCGATTCAGGGTTTCGCGAAATTCATGGAACTCGTATTGTCTGGTTTCGCCCGCCATCATGATCTAACCGTGCGCCAAATTTCCGTTCTCTCCCGTTGCGAATTTCATTGTCGAGTGTGTTCACATACCGCAAGATCGTTCTTCGAAGTTTTATCGTTGGTGGGCCAGGGCGGCCGGAATTCCGTATGGGATTTAAATGTTTGCGTAACACAGAAAAACACACAAATACACACACACACACACACACACAGAGACACAGATAAAGATCCAGTCACACGAAGAAGATATCACTCGAGTGGCAAAGAACAAAGAAGACGAAACACTATAGCAATATAATTTAATCGAGGCGAGGTACGACGTGTTGTACATAGTGTATGATTGTGAATTTAGATTTACGAATCGTGTAATTAAGAGGAAACGATAAACACGGTGAAAGTACTGAGGAATCATTAGAGCCGAAGGGGGTCGCAATCACCGACCCATGTGTGGTCGGGATGTTTTACGAGTATATACATACATAGTATATATATATATGTATACACACGCGTGGCCCACACGCGAAACGTGCCGAGTTAGGATCGTATAATACGAGGAACATAAATCTGAGTCAAATCTGAAGAGGGGCGCGATGGTTCCATTGATTCACATTTATGGCGTTTAAGATAATTGTATTTTTCTCTCGGCAATCTTTTTTGGTGGCGTACAAGAATTTATAAATATATATACATATATACATATATGTATACACGGATGATAAATTCGTCATATTTACGTTTTACTGTAATTTTACATGATCCATATCTGATCGTTACCGATACGTTTCAAACAATAAAGAGAAACATTGAAGCATACATGTTGGTTGATTCTTTGTGTTTTACACCTCGATCCTTTCTGGAGTTTGTACAGGTAAGATACTATTTCTTTAGCGTTTTCGTAATTTCTATACACATTTTTGAACTAAGAGAAGGTGGGAAAATATTTTTGTATTACAAGGATTTAGTGGTCTGGAAACCAATCAGTATTTCGCGAGCGTCAAAAACTGCAACCTATTTTTCTGATCGAAACGGAAACTCCGTGAAAACAACATTCCCGTATACACCATATTCGGGGTTTTCCGATATATCTCCAATCAGTTTCACACGCTGGATGATTTCTGGAACGCAACCAAAAATAACTCGATCAGAAACCATGATGATTCCAGATATATTAACACGTTAACAGAACTTTGATTAACCCCTCCCCCCCCCGTCTCGTGTTCATCCGCAGTCATCCAAGGATTCAATTCGCCTGGAAAGTATATTATGCGAACGTGCATTTCATACTGTCGCGAAAAAATAAGAAAACTATTTTGTACAACACAAACAAACTATACCTGTAACCTCAAGTCAATTATAACCGCATAGTTCAACAACGACCCTTAATTAAATAACGAGCTAAAATAATTTGCAATCGTTTCCTCCTTACATCGTCAAGTCTCGAAATTAAAGTAAATCGAGAAGAGACCGCATTTAACACGCACCAATCCCGACAACTTTTTCCCATTTCGCGGTGAAAACGTGGGAAGGGTGGTTGGCTGGCAGGAAGATAAAGACGATCAAGGGTAAGGCGAGACGAAAGCGCTTTAGCGGGCGGTAAACAGTGAAACGGGGGAATCTAAATCCGTACCGGAAGGATTCACAAGGAAACGGAGAGAGGCTCGGTATAAGCCGGTTCTCGGGTTTCGATCTATCGGCCGAACTCAGAGGGGGCAGGTAGAGGCGGCTCTTCTTCCGTCTCGATTCGATTTCCAGATTAATTAAGGATCGCTGGTCTGAAAGGACGCCCTCGAGATCCTTTCAACGGGGTCGAGTGTCCGTTCGGGAAAGGTGTAACGAGGCGCCGTCCACCGATTCGAATCCGTTTCACGAGACAGCGACCTCGATAATGACATTTTTCGCCCGGTTCCAGTAAGTCGATCTTACACTGGAACACGGGCAGTCGGATACCGTTAATGAGAAACGGACCAAAACGTGTCCCACCATCGTGATACGAATTCGTGTCCTTGCCACTTAAGGGACTCGTTAATGGGCCACCACTCATCCCTCGACAGAAGTGTTTACAGCTGGTATGGCATGGTCTTGAACGTACAGAGTGTACAATCGTTTTATGAAATTTAATTATCGTTCGTCTTTGTCACAAATTAACCTCTTGGGAGATACTGGCACGTATGTGTACGTTTAGTATTTCCTTCATTGAAGCATCATTCGGAAACTGTAATTAAATATTTACTAGGAAATTCTCTAACAGAAAAGGATTGTCGTTAATTTTTGTAAATGTATTTTAATTAAATACAGTCCAAGAATAAGGAAAATATTTTTTCTGGTCTCATTAAGTTCGTCCCTGAAGAGGTTAAAATAGATTACGTAGTAGTACGTAGAAACGAAATGCAATGTAGTGGGCACTCGAGTCGATTTTTTATATTTGTCTTACTTTTTTCATAATGAATCACGTGATACCCGATTTGAAATATTATTCGGCTGAACCCTGTATGCTCAATACGTAAATCCAAAAACGACCTATGTGGTTGATCTATTCTGAAAAGAACATTCATGGATTCCTCAGATTACTAAACACTTCAATTACTGGATAAGGATTTGATAAAATATTGCACTACAAATATTGGACAATCGTTGCAAACTTTATCTAGAAACAGACCCCACAGACTCCACTGTAAAAATGAACGATAGTAACGTTCGTTTACTGTACACAGCTCATAAAATGAAATGCTTTCCTGTGCTCATAGATGGACACACAGTTCCTCTACAAAGTTCAGCTGTGTAAAGATGCCAGAATACTTTTAAATCTTCTAGAAAAACGAAAAGAAAACCAAAATCGACAAGGGTCGTTCCTTTTTACGAGCCCCTCAATTTCACCCATGAAGGTTGGCAGAGCGTCGATTTCGTACGCGCGCCCTCCCGGATAATCGGCTTTTCTACGTGCACTCGGATGCCGATTAGTTCAATGAGAAATTCACTCATTTCGCGGGGAATGGCCCGTGGCCTTGTGTTCCTTTCCACGGGAACAGTTGGCCACGGAAAAACAAGAGAGACCTAGAAACCAGGGGGAGAGAGAAGATAGTTTCGAGGCGGTCGCGTTTGTAAGACGCTCCGAGGCACAAGCCAAGCCCTCCTATTATCTCCGCATTGTTTTATCGTTGTTACGCGCCTGCGGATGCTCGCGCGGGCATTTCCACGGTACCTACGTGAAACAACGCTGCTCCCTGCCTCTCTGTGCAACCAGTCTGCTTATTTCTGGAGCGAGCTATTCCCCCATCCCGTCGCCGACGTTTCTCCTGCCGATTGCGCAAACACGTGTTTGTTTTCGTCCGTGTACTGGAGAGGGTTTGTTTGCGCTCGCCTGGGCGAATGTGCGAGCGTGTTTTTGCGAGGCGTACGTGCGCATTCCCTCTTACGAGGAGGAACCGGAAACTGATACGAAATCGATAGATTCGGGACCCCACAGGCTACGTGTGCCGACAGCACGCCCTTATGCCACGTGTCGAATTCGAGAGGATTTCCTGGAGAATAAAAGCGGTGGTGGGCAGGAGTAGAAGTGTTGTTGACGATTATCGACAAGTTAACCGTAACCTATCGATAGATATTGATATATTGATAATATTGTTAATATTAGAACTACCAAAGCAATTCAAATTACTGGTTAGGATTTCACTAGTCGAGGATAAAAGTCGTAGTGGTCCTAAGTAGACCTGCTGCTGACAATTATTGTCGATAAGTTAATGATAATTTATTTGACAGGTGTTGATATATTGATAATATTGTTAATATTAGAACTACCAAAGCAGTCAAAATGACTGGTTAGTATACCCTTAGAAAATGTACGAGGAACAATTTCCTCCGATTCGAAAAACGGGATGGATCCATTAAGCGATCAAACACGGGGGATGTTCAACACGGTCTTCTCCTGTTACGATAATCTGACTTGCTCTTCGACGACTGGTCTGGAAAGACGTAAAACTTTAATGGCCGTCTAATGTACCAACAACCATTATATAGTCAAGTATACAGAAATAGACAGAAAATGGAGCGCTTGAAAAATCTTACTTCGCCTGAAAGTATTTGTTCGTGACGGCTGACCTAACAAATGTTCATATTAATTTAGTAAATGTAAAATATGTAAAAGTGTGTTAAAAGCAAAAATATGAAATCATCAATTTAAAGTGCACTTTAAATAGGAACTGAATAAAGATCTCTGGTGGTCTGACCAATGACGCACCAATTCTACTTATTCCACTCTTCCTTCAGTAACCTTTATTCTTATTCCATTTATCTAAAATTATGTTCATCGTATCCCGTCCATATAAGAGAGACTTTCAAACCAGAAATATTAGTAAAACGTATTCTGTGTCATAAATTTTCTTCAGGAGAAACAGTACTAGAAGTTCGACTCGACGTTGTATCCGTTTTACAGGGCCATGAAGTCAAATGTATCTCTCCTTTAAGGAATCATCGTAAAAGATAAAATCAATTTAACAGCGGAAATAAAATGTTGACTTCTTCATATAGATTACCCTTTCTAA